TAGTTGTGTGGAACATTCTTTGATTTTCCCTCTGTGTGAACGCATTTTCACGCCACCTATGTATGTATGTATGTATGTTGGGGGGATGGTCCACCCTGTGAAAATAAACTCAAAAGAAAAAACGCACGAAAAAAGCACCTCGCTCTCTTAGCTTTTCTTTCTTCTTTATTTTTCCTTATTTCTTACCTGTAATTAGCCTGTGTCATTTGGCCGCTGGCCGTGCGTTTCATTTTGTGTATCTAGCGTCTGGCCAAAATGTATCTACACATAAATTCTCCCGACTCTCGGCCCGTACATTTAAGTCATGTTGAAATATTTGGCATCTTCTTCTTTTGCCGATCATAAAGTTCATAATTTATACATATTTATTGGCTCATTTAGTTGGTTCATGGGATATCATTATGTTTTCTTATTCGGCATTACCAAATCCACAATACAACACGTTGTTTAGTGCTACTAGGGCTTTGGGTAGAGTTTTATATACACATATATATTTCAGTGTTTTGGGATTGAAAAAGGGGATAAAATTGGGAAGATAATGCCCGGAGTAATCTCACTTGATTTGGGAAAAACTTTTAAACAGTTTTCTAAACTTACTTGGGCAGGGCTTTTGATATAAATATATATAATGAATGTTTATAAACGGCTTGGCAAAAAGAGTCTTCACACTTTCATATATTTTTATCTAATATTGCTATTAATTTCATTATGTACCATTTTGTTTTAGGATTTAGAGGTAAGCTAAATTTAATTGTCATCTTTTCATATCTTAGCTTCCTAAAAACTGAGTTTGATGATCCATTTATAAGGATGACAGTTAAGAAAATTAATTTAAAGTAGGTTGTCAGATTGTCAGTAAAATTTAACTCCCAGAGAAGCTGTAATATTAATTTTAAAGGTTTCATAAGTAAATTGGCAGTAAAATTGAATTCTCAGAGAACCTATGATGTGCTCCATCTAAAGCTAATTAATAAATATTGAGACCAAGACAATATATAGTTTAAAAATCTGTTTCAAAAATATACGTTTATCATTTATATAATTCCAGAGAAAAACACTCCAACTATTGAGAAGATCTGAATCGAATCTGGATTAAGCAAGTGGATAAAGCTATACCTGAGAACTTCTGCTTTCTTATCCTTAATTCATATTTCTCTACTCAGCACATTGTTTTAACCATATAGACATTCAGAAACCCTAGCCAATTTTTATCCTCAAAAGTATATGATATGCATTTCTCATAGGTATTACAAAACTTTTAAGTCAAAAGCAAATATCATAAAAGTGTCATTTTTTCTATGATATGCTTTTAGAATGGTTCGCTAACAGCCAATTAGGATTACATGCAATTCCCTCTAAAAATACTTGACTTTTGGCATCGAAACGTGTTATTTGCCAGCATAAATAAATAAGTTGGGTGAGCGTTGAAAATGTGTGCGAAATAAACAAAAATATACAACTTTGAGTGAATCCTTGGCAATGCGGACAACAGTCTGCTCAACCTCAGACAATGCGTTGTCATCTAACAATTGTTATTCAATGGTCACGTAGGTGACTGTTTCGGCATATAAACATTTATTTTTTGGCAACTGACAAGTTTTTCCATGTGCACATACTATAAGTAAATATATATTTGGCAAAAGAGAGAGACTTTTGTAAATAATTCTGTTTCATTTTGAGTGGTTTTCGGAGTAGATTTTCCAAAGAAACCAAAACGAAGCTTTTTGAGTGAAAATATGGGGGCCTTGCTTCGGGTTTTCCTCGTATGTCGAGCGATCGCCTCCACCTGTGCTCCACACACGGATACACACACTCTCGAATCACACTATACTTAAAAATGATTTTTCGCTTATTTTTAGCAACCAAATTTCACGTTATTTCTGCCTTTTTTCCCCCGCTTGCTCATAATCATGTTCATTTTCCACACGCATTTCACCTGGGATATATATTTGCATATATCTTGCGGATCTAGATGGGCTAACCGTCCTTATATATGTATATAACATGGGAGGATGGATGGCTGACCGGCCAGTTTGCCGCTCCGTATCTCGTAGATACTTAGCGCTGGCTGGCCATAACTTTATTTATTTTATGCATGTACGATGTACATATACAATGTTGCCGCTTCTTCTATATATAAGAGTGTGTTCGCCAGGCCAGCCGTAGAATAATATTTAACATTCTGTGTGTTTGCCACATTTTGGAATGTGTAATAATTTAAAAATAAACCTGGCGAATATGTAGCAAGCCATTCGCCGATAAATAAGTCAGCCAAAAATAGAATCAAGCCAGACAACCCACCTTTGGTTGAAAATGCAAAAAACCTATATATTTCACATAGAATTCCCAACTTTTCCAACTTTTCACTTTATTATAGGTTGGAAAAAACACTGCTTATAATTCCCAAGTGACTGATTCGTCAGGTGTGTGCCTGTGTGCGAGTGTGCATGCATTTTCCGGCCCATTGCCCATCATTTTACAGCTGCACTGAGGTCAGTGATGGGGACAGGATTCCCATTCCCATTCCCATACCCATACCCATACCCACTCCCATTTCCCATTTCCAATCCCATTTTCCACCTACCTCCACCTCACGACAGAAATCACTCAGCGGCCCGCTCTCTCGGTGTCTTCTATTTCTTTCATGTTTCATGTGTGTGTGTGTGTGTGTGCTTCATGCTGCCATGGGAAATTGGGTCAAAATTGTTATGATCACAGATACACACGCACACACTCGCATCGCATCTGCCCCGCTATGCAGTTATATATAGATCGACTTCAGCTTGTTCGAGGTGTGCTCCCGCTTTATAGAGTGCGCCTATTTGACAAGTGCTCCTCCTCCTCCTCCTCCATCTTGGCCACTTTCTGCACTTTCCGGGATCGCAGGAGTGGAGCAGAGTGGAGTGGCTCAAGTGGGCGCCACTCGAGGAGGGCTCCAACTAGGTGGGTGGTGATGGGAAAATTCCCAGCCAGCCCCCCTTGCTATAAATAGCCTTTTAATGCACTCAAAAAAAAGGGAATGAGAAAGAGAAGGAAAAACAAACAACAAAGCCCCTAATGCGTTGTAGTTCCCTGGAAAATCTGGCACTTTGCTTCCCGGTTCTCTTCAATTTTCGCGAATTTTCCATTTTAACGTTGACAACTTCCAATCAGCCTGCTGATGATTCACAAGCTGTGCCCTCATAATGCCAATAGCCATTGTACGCGGGGCGTGGAAATTCGCCGCTGTTGACAAATCTGGGATTTTGAATGTCTTCACAGCATCCAATATATAGGAATATAGCACCCACAATACCATCGACATCGGCCTGTGACGCGGCACACCGCGAATCTGACTCATACGGATGAAAAATACGGCAAACATGCACGGATATATACGGAATAAGATATATGGCCTGGCTAGGTGCAAGAGAGCATGAAATATTTTATAAAATACAGAGGCCATCCGCACTAAACCTACAGATAATTATTAAACAAAAATATGCAAGAAATTATTAGAGTATAAAATACAGATAAATATATTATAAGACAAAAAATAGGTACTAATAACCGTATTAGTTAAAACTTAAATATTTATATACTTCAACAACACCTTTCTGATAAATATTTAATATAGTTAAGAAGGAACCAAATCTATGAATAGGTTATTTGTTTATAAATAGAGAGCCACAAATAAAAACTATTACTAATACTTCTGGCCAGATACACATTTCCTATTTCCTATTGCCTGTTGATCTTACCAATGAGACGAGCTGTTGACAGAATTATTCGCTTTGGCTGAGTTTTATTAACGTTTATAAGCAACTTGTCCACTAACCAAAATTTTCTGACAGCTACAATTATTATTCTTAAATATTTCTTAAAATTTGTAGAATCTTTTCCGTTAAATCTTATATTATTAAAAAATTCGATATATTTGTAGAGCATTTAAAATTCGATATTTCCCTTTTTCATTTTGTTTGCATTTGTCTAAACGATTAATCACCGAAATTATTTGCGGCTCGTGATGCTAAATGCAATCGAAATTTAATTAATGCCGGCGGTAAAAATAAAAATTAATTCTGACAGTTTAGATTAAAATTCTGTGTTTGTATTGCGACTTGCCCTAAATATTTTTCGAGTTAAATATAAATATTCTTAGCAGCAGTGTCATCAGGAAAATAAACTATTAAAAGGTAAACAAAATTAAACTAAAATAATATATATTTTATATTATATATATAATAGATAATATATATTTAATAATCGCTTAAATTTCAAAACTACTTTTGTATTAATATTAATAAACACGTATTAAAGCAATGACTATTGCGATATTTACTTGATTTAACCTTTTCTTATATTAGGTGAGCTCAATTTATTTTTCAATCAACTTATGAGCCATAATTTATTTTGTATATTTTTTATTAAATTAAAAAATACTTGTATGGTCTTTGTTTTGGTTATCCGATATACGAACCATTTAAGAACCCACTCATAGATGGCACTGTTCAAAATGTTGTGGTTGTAAAATGCGCTATATGGAAAGTCAAACCATTCGTATGTAATTTACATTTATTGTACCCATTTCTAGGAAATTCAAATTTTTAAGCTAATAAAAATATGTTTAAAAATAAGCAAAATATTAATATTTTATTTATAAACAATATATTCAATATTGTGATTAAACTTGTATATTTATTGCTTCTGATATTGTAAAGTAGCTTGTTAAATCTTCTATTTATTAAAACAATTAAATTCATTTAAACATATATGTACTTTAAATAAAAAGTACAAATTTTTAGGAAATTTCTTGTAAATATTATACATATTGTTATGCCTTAAAGTTAATGTAGTTTAAATTTATTTAGTCTCCTAAAAGTTGAAAAATACAAATTTAAAGATGCCAAAATATTATATCCCTAAAAATAATTATGAAAGTTAACTCAAGAAGTGTGTTATTTCTAATAAAATGAAATTGGTCATATGTATATATTTATATATTTTACTAACCAATAACAAATCTTCAACTTTATCTAAAAATTTAATAATAGTTTAAAATCCCCTAACGAAATGGGTACACAGTCATTGCAAAAAGAACTCGATCAGGTTGGTTAGCCGGCGCATGCTGACGTAGTTAACCAACACGACGTAGGCGTAACAGGTGTAGATGTAGGCCCACCATTGGAAGTGATACGGCTCCTTGGATCCTCCGCCACCACCACGAAGGCGTCCAAAGCCCATGAAGCCATTGGACTGCAGGACGTATGCGTGATGTCTCTCGGTGAGAAGTCGCCGGAACACTGCTCCACTCAGGTAGACCACAGTCAGCAGGAGAATCAGGCGTCGCAGGTGCACCAGCAGCAGTGCCATTTTAACAATAATAATATTCCCGGGAATCTGCAAAGGTTAAAGTAACACTTAAAGTGCAAATAAATCATTTTGCAAAGATATTTACCTAATTTTCCGAATTATTTTCGCATTTACGCGACTTTTTTGCTTTCCGTCTTGTCGTTTTGTTTTCGTCGCATTTTTCGCTTGTCTCTGTGGTGATTTTTTATATATATTTGACTATAAAACCTATATTCTTGACTGGCAACACTTGAGAAAAGTTTTCAAAACTATTTTCGGCAAAAGTCTTTTGCGAAAGCTTTCCCCCCTTTTTGGCGGTTAAAATACAAAATATTTGATTTGATTATGCAAAATGTTTAGCTTTAAAAAACTTCCATTAATTAGTCTTTGTTTACATTTTGTAATAAATTCAAAGGGGAATCCAAAGAAAATTGTCAGTGCTTGGCAAATCGAATTAAAATCCACTTCAAACGCCTCTTCAGATAGCTATAAGCGCTTCTGACATAAGCTACCACTAAGTATGGCCATAAAAAAATATCTAACAAAATCAACAAGCTGCATCCGATAAAGATCGATCAGGTCAGGTCAGTGGCGGAGTTCAAAGGGGGTTTCATATTAATGGGTTGTATTGTGGCGGAAATAATAATACTAATATTAATACTATTCCAAGTAATTGTATATTTTATCAGCTTAAAGAAATATAAAGTTCATTTGAGGTATTCAAATCTCTAGGTTAGGTACATCCCCCCTAATCCCTGCCACTGATTCCTGCGTATACGTAATGCGTATACGTAATATTCCCATGGAAGAAACGAAAAGAAAATACTTGAACACTACACACACACAGACAGACTTCTAACAACAGCTCCATGCAATGCAACCTTGAAACAACGATCAAATCCGCAGGAAAACTGGGGAAGGGAGTCGCCATCCAAACAACAACAATAAAAACAAAGCCCACATTTTTGTCGGAGAAAAGCAAACACAGAAAGCGCTTGAAGAAGATTGCAACACAAAACAGTGAGGTTGGTTAAGAACAACAGCCACGGCAGCGGCAAAATACAATATTTAAATTAAATATTAGCACACCGAAACGGGGCAGCAGAAACAGTGTCTGGAAAATGCGGGGAAAATGCGAGACGAAATACGAAATATGTGGCAATGGCCGGCCATCCGTCTACATTCGAGCGGAAAATGAGATGTAAATAAAGCCGAACATAAATAAAAAACTATTAACTGCAATTTTGTTTGGTTTTCAGCTGTGACATGGACACACAAGCATTAAGAGATCTAGGGATAAGTTGAAGATATTTTATGTATATTCTAGGGAAATTATGCAAGGTAAATTAATAATGATGAATGATTGCAGTTAATTTAATTGATTATTTGAAAATATAATTAATTATAATTAGATACAATATCTTTTATCGGGAGGGAGCCATCTTCCCCCACAAAGATCATTAAAAAAAACCATTTGCTTGTGCTTTTATTGCGTTTTATGTGCACGCAAACAAATCGCATCTGGTCGATGTGCCGCCTCCTTACAAGACTCCCTCTTCTTAGATTGAGAAGAGGGGAATCCCAATCCCGGAACATCGCACTCGATTCGTTTTATTAGCCAGCATTTCATTGCGTAATATGTCGCTGAAGGCACACATCCCCCCAAAAAGAGCGCCGCAGTCGCACTCGTAAATTACAAATTTGAAAAATCGCAGGAGGAGAAATGATTGAAAGGCCCAGAGATCGGTGGCCACTGGGATGCGGATGAAGATGGAGATGGAGATGGAGACCCCGGCAGAGAAGGCGATCGTGTCCCATGGGAGTCTAAGAGGAGGCAGGCACTGATAAAAATGGGAAAATAATAATAGTTTCTCCTAATAAATTCCTATAAAGATACAATGTTGCAATAATTGTAGGAGAGTAACTATAGTTTTTTTGCAGTGCAGCTGGTCAGGATGGGGGGATCGAGGACGTCATGGCCTGGGCAGCAGCATGATTGACCGACTACGCGGTGCACCTCGTCGTTGCTCCCGGGGATTGCCGGTCTGACTTTTATGGCTGTCGGTGTATTTCTTTTTATTGCCTGAACCAAAAATCCGTTTCTAGTATTCCCGACGCCGTTCCTCTTGATTTGTTTGCATTCAGTTTTCAGTTTTCAGTTTTTCGACTTTTCAGTTTTTCGGCTTTTCAGTTTTTTTGGGTTGCGTTGGCGTCGCCGGCAGGCAGGCAGGCAGCACGCACTGGGAAAATATTTGTGGAAAGCATGCGAAATGCACGCCTGTTGTGGATCTTTTATATTTTTTAATGCAGCGCTGAAAGCTATTTGTATCTGTCGGTCAGATTGGGTTAAGACACCGCCCCCTTAAAAACTTCACCCCCTCCACACACCCACTCACACCCACTCCCCCTTTCGTCAAAGTGTCGGGCCACTTTTGGCCCGGAGGCTATTAGCCCATTGATGCCGTAAGCGATGCCTCTGGATGTTCCCCTTCCCGGATTCACTTTCTTTCTGGTATTTTAGCATCTTTGTCGCCCAACCTGATTTATGGCAAAAGGCATCCTATTTCACCCGAATGAATGGCTTTTGGCATTTTGCGCATATTTAGTTTAAATGTTTTCACTAAACCCCGAGCGAACGGATGAATGCCAGTTTTATTTCATGTTCGGACGTCATCTTTTTAGCCGCACGTTTCCGGTGACTGCCGGGCGGCTGAGGCAGTGGCAACTGCAAAAGTGGCACACAGATTTTTATTTATAAAACGAGACCAGAACAAATATCAGCAGCATATAGTGTCTTGGTTGTCTTCTGCATGATATCTCTGATATAGTTTCGACGGCACGAAACACCACGAAGTGAACCGAATAATGCCCGGGGCCAGGGGCTAAGTCAGCTATTAAAGGAATCTCTAAGGGCTCTAGGAAATGGGAGAAAATGTATATAAATATACTTGGGTTAATACAATGATTTGCAAGGATTATCACTACCTGTTATTAACCACAAAATCTCATTTATCGAGAGCACTTAGACTGAGGCTGAGCACCTTGTAATTTTCACTTTTTTTTTGTCGTCGTTCTCCTCGGCACAACATAATCTTGGGAGACACCTCATCAGGTTGAAGACCCCGATTGGCCTCCCTTTCGTTGTCTTTCATTCACAGAAACATGACAGACCGCATCTGTATCTGTAGGTGACAATTATCGTTTGCATCACGCGCATATTTGTGATGTTTCCTCTGGATGCCTCCTCTTCCCGACCCACTCATCCATGAGTCACCGCTGAAGCCAGGGAATATTTAAATTAAATTATTCGACTATTAATAGAGGGGAATGAGAATATCTTCGGTGGAATGAAACAGCCCAAATAGATGCGAAATGCATTCGAGTTGCATTTTATGAGCATTACAAGAATTTTTACGCATTTCCTAACCATTCCGGTGGCGGTAGTTGATATCAAGAAGCATATAGCCGATTTGGCCGATTTCTGTCAGAATATATATATATATTTGTTTGAGAAGCAAAATACATACGGGATATCATGGCAAACAATGTGTTTTGATGATGGCACGAGTTTATGAATGCTCTTTGTTATTTATTATTGTATTGATTTTAGAATTTGTACAATTGTTTTTTGATTAATATTTATTTAAACCTGAAATTATGTTGACTTTTCTACTTTTATTTAGTAACATTTTTTGAACACATTTCAAATACATATTTAATTAATTATATGGAATTTATAGCCCAGTAATAAAGAGTAACTTATGTAGGGTTTATTTAGTTCCGTTCGAGTTAAATATATATATTCGATTCTGGACATTTTAAAGGTAAGATAATTGTATTAGAATTTATTATTTTTAAAAATCGTTTTTAAGATATTTGTATATCTTTTTCCCAGTGAATGTTTTTGTCCGCTTAAGGGAGAACTCAATACTATACTGTCCGTTTAAAGGAGAACTCAATGCAACATTGTTCAATCAAGGAAACTTTTACTGTCTATATATTCATGTACTCATTTAAGGTATCTTAATTGTAAAAGAGTTCATTAAATATTTATTATAGAATATTCTGCTTTACATATTTAGAATTTTTTAATACTTTATATTGGAATATTTTAAAAATTCCTAGCTTGATTGTTCCCTTAGTTAATATACCACATCTTAGAGTATCCTAAAGATCTTTTATTTATTTCTCTATTGCAATTTACAAAACGCAACTATCATCGGCGGAGAGCCGGGCAGAATCTCGGAGAGCTTCTTCCGCGGAGATTCTCACCGCCTGCCGAAAATACACGCACGCCTGAAGCGCGAGAGTAGCGGCGGCTTCTCTGCGCTTTTCAGCTTTTCACGCAATTCGGTGCGAGGGAAAATCTCAGCACGAAAATATTTTCCCGGCAGCCAGACAGTTTTCCTTTGACAACGCGCCGAGTCGCACACGCTTTTCCGATGCAATTTTAAAACCGAAAACGAAGAAGAACTGAAGAACGTAGCGAGGAGGTGAAGAAAAATCGCTTTCGCATGCGACAAATTCGGTCGACGAGTGTGTGTGCCAGTGTGTGTGCGTGTGTGAGTGTAAATGTTGCTAAATTTATAAATAACAGCACAAGTTGTGCCTGTGCTCCTGTGTTGCTCCCAAAGTAAATCGAAATAAAAGCAAAAGTGATGCGCTCACCGTGAGGGAAATGGAGATGGAAAATAAGGAAAATATCAACGCATAAATAAAGCGTCGCCGCGATCGCGATCCGCGTCCGATTCTGTCGCATTTGCCGGCTGCATTCTCAAATAGATTGTCCCAGCTATAGGCTATAGTATCTGTATTGTATCTGAAGGTGCTCCGGTCTATATATCCGACCTGACAGTGCGTGCCGGTGGATTATGTAAAGTGGCACACGAGCGATCGCAGAATATATCTCAAGCCATCTCAAGAAAAACAAAGAAACCGAAAGAAAAGCGAGTTGATTCCCGAAAGAAGGGAAACTGAAATCGAAACAGAATGAAAAACAAGTAGAGATAAAGCGAGAAGATCGCTAGGAAATTTGTCGCACGCGCACGATCTCAGTAAGTGCATCTAATTTATTTTGCATCTATTGCAATTGAGAGGCGTTCGCGCGGATGCATCCGCCAGATACGTTTTCGTAATTGTCGTCAGCGGTTCGAGTTGCGCGCGTGTGTTCCCCGGATTGGATTACCATCAAACAAGCAGAATAAAAATACAAGATAATTTTTAAAACATTCTATTGAAAAGGCCCCACTGTGAGGGATATAATTTGAGTGGTCCCATCGAGGATCCCTTTGCCAAGAGCAACGCAATGTCGTCCTACCGCAGTTATGTAAGTACTAGTTAATGCCAACTATCCGTATCGGTATCTGTATCTGAGAATTCGTATCTCATCAAGTGGTTGTGTGTATCTCGGCGTTTTCGCTCTGCTTTTGTGCTTTTGCAATTTTTGTTTATTTCTAATTTGTTGCCTTCTTGCCTCATACACTAGCTCGGCTATTTGGCAGATACAAAGATACACGTATCCGTACTCGCAAATATAAAATGTATCCAAGAGCTCGGGGCTCTATGAGCTCCAGTTCCATTGATAAACAATTCAGCCACAAATTCGCTCATTGTCTGGCATTTCGGCCTAATTCCAATTTCCTCTCTCCATGGAAAAGCTCAAATTATGGCCGAGGTGTGGCAGCTGAATGACCGAATGAATGGATGGCTGACTGACGGTTTTGAATGAACGAATGCCAAAAACAAATGCATAAATAAATGCCTTTTATTTTGGTCAAGCGGTTTAAATGACAAATGTTAAAATGTTGCCTGATTAATGCTCGTGTTTGCGCACCGAAAGCGTTTAAATACACATTGTTTGAAGTGATTTCGGTATAAATAAGACACATTCCAATGGATATTGTTAGGTTATAATATATTCTATTATTTAAAATGTTTAAAAACTAATATTATTTAATTTTAGCAAAGAAAATAGTGCATTTTACTCTAATGCATTTATTAATAAAGGAGATTACCTGCATAACTTAAATATATATTAGCATCTAATCAATATTCAAGTTTATAATCCCCTTAAAATTTTACCCATTTCATGGACCCATCCCCCTTATCCCTGATCACCTTTAGCTTAATCCCCTTCATGTTCAACTCATTATATCCTTTTGTTCCCAGGTTTATGACTTTAGGCCGACTTCTGACACATTTGGGCATAAATCAATTAAATATTTTTCGGGTCTCAGAATCTAATAAACTGATCAATTTATGGCCGGCAAACAACAAGTTTCCACTCCATCCCACTCGCCGAGTCATTTCCCCAAAATTATATTTAGAATGCTTCTAAAAATGTGTGTTCTGGTTGGGAGTTTGGAGTACATCGAAATGATTTCTGTTTCTTTCGAGTTGACGCCGCTCTTCTCTCTCTTTTTTTTTGGTTCTTGGCGGAGTTGGTACTTTGTTCGAGATGTTTTTATGGCCAGAAGGAAGTTGTAAATATTTATGACACGCATAAAGTTGAAAGTTCCTCCGTGAGAGCCGCGGAGCACGCACCACCTAATTAATTAACAAAGTGTGAATATTCATGCAATTTGTTCTTCGAGGGGAGAAAGTGATTTGAGGGGGAAACAAGGAGAAAAGGGGAGAGTATAATATCCTCTTGCTTCGGTTAAAATCATACAAACTACAGCCATGACTTATTATAAGTAGTTTGACAGAGTGCAATACTTAATTTCCCATCTAGTTTCATTTGAAATGAATGCCAAACTATATCAAAATTGTCCGAGTGCTGGAGAAAGGAAAACGGTGCTGGGCGCTTGTCAAGTGTCTTATATTTTCAGTTGGACAAACAGGTAGAGACACTTTTCCGTTCCCACTTTTCCGCCCGTTTTTTTTCTGCCTTTTCCAGTACGAAAAACTTTAGAGAGCCTTGCAAAATGCCGCGTCGTCGTCGTCCACGTCGTAAGATGAATCCGGCGACATCGCTGAAGAAGAAGAACCAGGATACCGCCGGGCACAATAATCGCCAGAAGGCGGAACCACCTGTCCCGCCCACCGTGCCGGATCCACCCAAGTCGGAGGCGCTCAGAGATGACGCTTCTGGCGAGGAGTCACACGAGGCGGCCTCCACGTCCAGTGGCGAGGTTAACAATGAGGCGGAGTACAAGCTCTTCCCGGAGGTCTTTGATAAACCGCCACTGGGCCTGCTGCCAACCTTCGCTAATGTGTTTGGCCAGCCCTCTTACGAAGGTGGTTACCAGCCAAAGGATGTGCCCCCAGCTGCTGCCGCTACTTCCTCAACTGCCGCATCTGCATCCACTTCCAAGGGATGTGGCTCTCCTGGAATCCAGAGCACCCCTGATGGGCACTTTACCAAAATTCCTGCCACAATGGTGAATGACCGCTTTGGAATGATCGGACTGCTGGCCGCCATGCGGACCGCGGTCACGGAGCCGGGCGCCACACAGCTGGTCTTCGGCGAAGATCTCACCACCTATGGCCTGGACTTGGCCGCCCAAGGTGACATCTACGTGCACTTTAATGGGCCCTTCACCATGGAGCCGCCGGAACGGAGCTCCATGGACTGCGCCCTCGAGCTGGGGATGCGTGCCATGCGGGATGCAATGGACAGATATCCGCCACTGCCGCCGTTCTGGGATCCCTTTGTGCCGGAGACCCGGAACCTGGGTCTTGTGGATAGCGAAGGCAAAAAAATTCGTCCAGAGCAAAGCCAGGAAACCAAGATGGGAAACAATTCAGAGTCGAAATCGGAACCCAAAATAGAACCCAAAAAGGAGGCCAAAGAAGATCCACCTCTACCACCTCCAGAGCGTGGTCGGGGTCGAGAGCGAAAACAAGAACCTGGCGATAAGAAAAAGAAATCCAAGCAGCGATAGGACCACAGTCCAGGAACTGAAGAGCTGTCCAAATCCGTGATCTTTGTTACTAGGTAGCCCTTGAATACATGACTATGTTTTGATCAGTATACGGAATCGGCTTCAAGAATACCACGTTGCTATTTTGGAAAGGTTAATACATTTTGTAATAAATCAAATTAAATTGGATATGGTTACAAATGAATATATTTTGCTTTTGATTCTTATTTAAAGGAAAGTGTAATTTTAGTGTCATGAGTAGTGCAACAATGTAGTGTCATAAAAACACTATGATAATTTGACCCTTTTAGTATATACTACATTTATTAGTCTTTTTAATATATTATTATATTTTATTCACTTAAGCGACAGAAAGAGAAAACTGAATAGTCAGTTCTATTCAAGTTATTTCAGTAAAGGCGAATGTTTTTATCCGAAAACATTAAGTATATGGGATGCTTACTTTTATTTCTATATATCTATTCAAATGTGTATTTATTCTTATTTGATTTAAGGTAATCAATATTATATTAACAGTCTAATGTATAACAAGAGAAGAGTCCTTTTAATGGTGTTTTGACACTAAAATGTTGTCTTTACTCATTGAAGGTTTAACTTTATTTATTCATATATGAATCACAATATTTAGGTTTTATAATGATACAATATTGATAATGATAAAACAGTAACGCGTTCTTCCTATATATTATATATACGTGAAATCACTAATATGTTGCACATTATTATTAAGTTTTAAATGCATTGTATCTTTTCACTTTTAAGTTCGCTGCGTCTTTACACATTTCAGTTTCGTGAAACGCATTTTTCGACACTTTTGACAGAGGAAACTAGAAAAGCATTTAAAAATAAATCATTTGTCTGGCACGCGAATTTTCAGTCGCCACTTTAAATCATGTGAGGTCACAGTCTATATACTCTGTGAGTGGATGGCTTTCCTGGCTGGGATTTATGGACCCCAGGCTACTGACAGACAGACGCATTATAGTGCATCCTGCTCCTGGTACTCCGATTTGCGATCTGCATTATCCAATCTCTAATTGAGACCGCATAATAACGCTGTCAGGAGAAGAGCAGCAGCACTCCTTGAACACAGTACACATGGCAAACCGATTCCCATTTCCATTTCCATTCCCATTCCCATTCCAGAGAAGATCCATCCGTAGACATCCCCCGATCATCATCATCATCAGCCTCCGCCGGCTCTGAGTGTCTCCGTTTGCTTGTTTTGCACATTGTTGGGCTATTTGTGTGTTTGGCATTCCATTTCACTGGGCGAAAACAATTAGCAGCGACTGTCTGTCGTTCTGTCTTAATGTCTGCCACTCTTCCTCACTCTCTCTCACTCTCGCTCGGTTAGCAATTCTTCCCATTGGGCGGGCTCTGGAGAATGTAATAAAAATAATATTATTTTTTATCCCCTGGTAGTTGTCATCCACGGCGACTGGCGCCACCAGGGATTGGAAACTCTGGAAAAATGCCTAAGGAGAATTTTCATGGGCAAATTCCAGTAAAATCATTAGGGGTTCAAAACAAAAGGTTAAAGGAATCAATTTTGAAAAATTTGTAAAATAAATGTAGATTCCTCAAGACGTTTATACTTAATTATGTACTTTTTATTTCTAAATTGACTATAAAATTTAAGGGATTTATTATTCATTTATTTCAATTCACATACTATTTGCTTTTAACAGATCTGGGTTCAACAGCATTTCATCCGCTCATTTGAGACTATTTGCAATAATTGGCCAAAGCAAGTGCTGGTTGCCAAAAATCTGTAAATTAGCGACGTGAATTTTGCAATTTTAAATGGCTGTCTGATCGCGAAAGATATATATACATATACATATCACTCTGAGCAAAAGGGCAAAGTGGTGATCGCAATATTCACTATATATTCACTACATCTTTTGGGGGAGAACTCAACCTGTCTCGGTGGACGAGGCCAATCTAATGCCTAATGTCTAATGCGCTGCGGCCGAGATTAGAAGGCAGATGTTGAAATAATCGAAATGAATCTGTTTACACGTCCAAATTAATTGAAAAACGCGTGCTACAGCGCCATTTAATTGAAAATGAAATAGACGCAGCATCAGCAGAGTCCCAATCCCAATCCCAATCCGAGGGAGACTGCAATGGGCGAGTTCAAAGAGGCGGCGGAGCCCAAAACACACAAATAGTCCAATGGCGATATCGGGCAGGGGATATATGTATATTTGTATGGGGTCTTGAGATTCTTTGGCATCCACCGATGGTGTTGATGTTGCTGATGTTCCTGATGCTGCTGCTTTTGCTGTTGCTGCTGCTCATGTTGTTATTGTGATGATGTTGCTCCTCCACTGACGATGATGAAATGCGTGCGAATAATTGTCGAGTGCACGGCCCATTGAGGAAATTCCCCTGGAAAATGAAGAAGGTGGCGGCGCAAACAGAGGAGTAGGAGAAGCAATGTGCTCTACATTGCATTGTTTTTCTTGAGATTTTCCCCAGAGTCAATTGGTTTCGGACTCTTAGGGCGCCAATCAATCAAAGCCATGTGATTGCCCATCAGTTTCAATTTCTTTTGAATGAGTGCAGGCTCATTTCGAGGAGGAGGAGAACTGCACAGGCCACAAGGAGAGCTGTGCCAGAAATCACTCATTCATTATATTTCTATAGAGAAGCACTGAGAGAAAGAATATTATCTTATTAGATACATACAATGTATCTAAACTATTTATAATAGATGCATTAATTTGTAACTTTTTGCTTCTTTTTTTCAGACTCCCTGGAAAACTAGCCTGGGCAGCTCCTACAAGCCGACAAGTTCTTCGGTAGGTACTCCATAAAAAAGTAAAACTATCAGAATAATTAACCTCCTATTCCCTTAGTACGGTTCAACCGGAGACTCCACTTCACGCTACACATCACTAGCCACTCCCAGCGCCTACAGACCTTCGTTTTCCGGCGGAACATATCGCCTGAAGAGAGATCCGCCACCAAGCACTGCCAGCACCACTCCGGTGACCAGTTATGTGAGCCGCTATGCCAAGACAGATCCCAAAGAGACAGCTCCCAGTGAGCGGACCAGTCCGGTCAAGAGGTATACAGGTGCAAGCACCAGCTCCCTGGGGAAATATGGACGATCCCGGGATCCTAGTCCGGTGGCCTTGGAGCACACAAATCGAAACAAGTCGCGGGACCCAAGTCCCGTCATAGACAGTGCCAGAAGCAAATTGGGGGCCACATATCGTGGCGGCAATACAGCCTCCAGTTCATCCTCCTCCGCCTCCCGGAACGGCTACAGCAGTCGCTATGGCGGCACAACCTCCCGGATCTCAGGGAATGGAAGTGCCATTTCCTATCTGACCACCAGCGACTTTCATGCGAGAACCGCCAGCAGGGCCAAGGCAAGTCGGGAGAGGGAGCGGGAAAAGGAAAAGGAACTGGAAATTGAGGAGAAGCCAAGCGAAGTGGTCTCACAGGGCAAGGAAAAGTCCATAGAGAAACAGCTGGAGGAACAAACGACTACCAATAATGAGGCTGATATTCCTGAAACATTCATCAGCATCTCGGTGGTCACCAGAGCCACTTCACCCACCTTACCGGGCAGCACCACCGTACAGCGCACACGTCGCATTGATCCGGCAAAAACCATTGAAAAGACCATCCAAAGATCTACGAAAAGACGTCCCACCGTTGATCAGGAAATCCAATCGGATCGTATGGATGATTCCACGCGATATCTTCGCTACAGTGCCGGCGGGAGTAGTCTCAGCTCCACATATAGTCCACATAGGGATCGGATCAGCAGTTTGAGGTACAGTGCCAGTCCGCATAGCTCGGGATCAGGCAAGTCCAGTCCGTTGAGTGAGGGAAAACTAAGTCAGCCCATCCCAGAGGCAGTATCTCCGGCTAGAACCAATGGCTCTGTGAGCTCGGCTAAGTCCTCTGAAGCCCTATCTCCTTCGAGAACTAATGGCAATGTGAGTTCGGCCAAATCCTCCGAAGCCTTATCTCCCCCGAGAAGCAATGGCTCCTCAAAGTCCCCAGAAGCGGTGTCTCCAGCTAGAACCAATGGCTCTGTGAGCTCAGCGAGATCAACGGAGGCCTTATCTCCTCCCCGAAGTAATGGTTGCTCTCCAAAATCTTTGGAAGCAGTTTCTCCACCCAGATCCAATAGTTCCTCAAAGTCCACAAAGTCGAAGCTTTCGCCACCGAAAGCCGTGCGTCTGAATTCCCGGCAATCTTCGGTCGAGAATCTGGTGAACAAGCCACCGGCTCCTCCCAGCAAGGCGGACTCACCCACCAAGACCTGCAGCTCCAGTTCGGGTAGTTCCGCAGTCAAGTGGCCCAACAAGGATTTCCGGAAATCATCCCTGAACGTGGGACCCACAGATAGGCCAAGGAAGTCGCGGACTCCTAGTAGTGGCGGCGAATCCGAGGATCTGCCCAACGGCAGTAGTCTAGAGCGCTCACCCAGTGCCGGGTCTGAGGGAAGTCTCGCCTCCGGCGGATCCTCCAAGAAATCTTCCAAGCTAAGCAATGGCAAGATTTCTGGAGCAGCAGGAACCAAGCCAAAGGCCCACAAATCCTGCAGTGACTCCACCACAGGCAACTCATCCTCGGCCACCGCCTCCGCTTCGGACAGTGATCAGCAACGGGTGAAGAGTGTGAAAAAGCAGGCCAAGAAGAAGACCACCGCTGGCAAGGTCGCCGCCGCCCACAAGCCGATAGGAACCACCACAGCCGCTGAGTCACCACCGCCCGTCGTGGTTGAGGTGGTGCCAGCGACACAGACGCGACTGAAGAAGCTCTCGGCGGTGTCGAATTTTTTCGCCAGCCGTCAGCAAGACGCAAATAACGAGCCGATCTTCCTCGAAAGCTCCGAGAGCTCGGGCGAACCGGAGGCTCTTTCACTGCCGGTGATCTCGGGATTCTCAAAGATCTCGAAGATATCGGCAAACAGTCTGACCACAGACCTGCGAACGAACGAACCGCGAACGACGCCATCGAGCGAAGCAAATCCCACCTCACCCATAACGAATTCCCTGAGCTCGAGCACACGCTGTCCCAGAGAAACCACAACGGGAACAGGATCGGGAACCAGATTGCCCACGACCACGATTAGCACCAGGGATACCCAGGATACGAGTCTAACGACCACGGCGAGCCTGACCACTTCGGAACAGGACGAACCCAGTTGGTGGCAGGACACCAGCTTGCAGATTAACACAGCCTCTGCTTTGGATCACAACAATCGGACAGAGATGCCCCCGTACAGGCTGAGACACATTGATTCTGGCGAGGAGCAGGCCTGGTGGCTGCAACGAGACGAGAATGGGGACGACGACGACACGCTGGCTGAGGAAACCCTCAATACACTGGACGACGATGCCCAGGAAGTGAGCAAGGGCACTTGGTGGAGCCAGGAGGAGCAGGACTCTAGCAGCAGTCAGGTGAAGGCAATGCCCAGGAGCAGGCTCTCGCCGGAAAAGGATGCTTGGTGGCTGCAGGAGGAGGAGGGTCACAAGTCCCCCAGGGAGAACGGGGATCTTAACAACAACAACAACAATATCGAACCCCATGTGGAGGTGACCCTAAAGTTGCCTTCGAATGGCAGCCGTAGCTCCAAGAGCCGAGGAGCCTCCAAGAGTTCTAATGGCAGTTCAAAAGGTGGCGGCTCCAATCCCTGGTGGCTGTCCGGTCCTGCGAAGAAACTATTTAACGTACAGCGCGTGGAGTCCGGCGAGCGAGCCTGGTGGCAGGAGCAGCCGGAGGAGCAGGCCCAGGAGGAAAAGGAGAACGAACCGCCACCGGTGAAGCCGCCAACGCCACCACCGCGCATCATCAAGCATTGGGAGTCCGGAGAACGAGCATGGTGGCTCCAAGACGAACCCGAGGCCAGCAAACTTCCGGAGGCAGTCAGCAGCGATGATGAGGAGCAGGCAGTGTCCCGGGATGAGGTGGACCTGAGGCAGAGCCACGGCCAACCCTTGGCAGATGTTCCTCACGAGCTGAGCAGCTCTTTTGACTTCAACGCCTACTCGGAGCGACCGGTGCCGCTGGGTCAGTGCGCCAGTCCTGTGCGCTGTCCCTCGCCCTACGACAACATTCCAAGGTCGAAGGTGCAGGAGCCTACACTCCCACTGCCGCCCACCCTCACCCCCACCCACTCGCACTCCCTCACCCCACCGTACACACTCCCCACCCTCCAGCCGCGCTTCTCCCCGCAAACTCGACGAGCGGGTGAAAAGCTTTTCATTTCGCGACATCAGAATATCGATGAACTACTAGGCGGCGCCTGTCGACCTTTGAGTCCGCTCTTCTACAGCAATCCCAATCCGGCGGAGAGCGAGCTTACCCCACTGGCCAGCAAGAATATGTTCCTCCTGGAGGAGGTGACACCTGACCAGGTGCGAATCCACGACAGCACCGCTCAGCTGCCGGTCATCCAGCGAATGCAACGGTGAGTTTTTTAACTATATTTTGATATATAAACATTATAAGGGATTCCTATAATTGATAATGTTTAAGTAATTAGTGCAGGTAGAATCGTTTTCATTTTCCGAAAGATAAATTCATAAAGTATTGATATATATATGAGTCTTAACTTTATTATTAATATATTTTTATTATTATATTTTATTGATTCAAGAAAAGTTTTAAGTAAAATTCGTTCTCAAAGAAAATATCCGAATTTAAAATAATAACAGTCTTAAATCTAAATTTCTTTATATTGAAATATATATAAACTATATAATTAAATCACTTTTATAAATACTTCTTACTAAATACATAGTAGGAAATCGCTTTTTATAAGTAAATAGGAAACAAAAAACTAAAGCTATTCATTAGGTTTTTTATGTTTGCCAATTTACAAGGTTGAAAGTACAAAGATTCCCAAATTCCTCAGGTGAGAACACATATATCTTCAGAGAATAGGAAAAATAGGAGAAAATAATACTATATAGTAAGCTTTCAGAGAGAGCTTTCCCTGTTTGTTGTGTGGTGAATTTGCTCAACATGTGGTTGCTCATATCTCATGTATCTCTCTCTCTCTCTCTCTCTCTCTCTCTCTTTGATCTTGCAGCGATGTCGAGTGGTTGGAGAATGGTAGCAGCTTTTACGAGCCACCTAAACAACAACAACAATCACAACACCAGCAGCTGCAGCAACAACAACAACAGCGCCGGGTAAGTGTCCACCCCCATAAACCAGCCCCTACCCCACGAATTTCCACAGATTTCTAGGCAGATTGCAAGCGTTTTGGCAGCCTGCCCGTCTTGTTACGATATCGACGCCTACACTTTGGTTTATTTATACAAATAACCTAGGATATTGGGGAAATATATAGGGGAAGGGTATATTAGTTCCACGATTAGCCTTTTCCTATCTAGGGGATTTGTCATTGGTATACTTAAATCTCAATATCGTAAGGAAAAACATAAATATATATTGAAAACTGTAATTCTTACTATTATTTTGGGTTTAATTGATTTAATTTTAAATAATTTTTTGGTCTTTAAACAATATTTACAAAATATTCGCTTGAATACAAGCTTACTTTGGGAATTTCTTAACCAATTATATTCCTCAACCTTTTGCTGTGTCACTGCATATAATTCTTATGTTTCACTTTGACCAACTTTCTCTGAAAACTAAGTCTGCTGCTAAAATCGAAAATATTTAATATCCGTGCGTCCTGCCCTGTAGCACTTATCGGCCAGATATATCGATATATGTAGGTTCAGACCCACACCTTTCGTACCTTTCACTTATCGCAGAACTTTTGACACTCGCCGCCCCGTATCGCTTACCTGCCGCAGCTGGGCGTTTAATTTCAATTTAAATACCCGGAACGACAAAGGGCAGGCCAGGGCGAGCCAAGGTGCGCGCACCCACACCCATTTTGCTGGTGGTGATTCGGTGGTGCTGTGTTGCTCTGGTGCACTGGTGGTGCAGTTATCACCTCCGGCATCGCCGCCAGATTCGGTCTTGAGTGACAGCCCTCAAGTGGCTGCGGCACATTGAGGGGTGTGTGAGTCAGTCGCCGGTCTCTGGTACTGTTGAGAATAAGAAAAATCACAAACAATGAGAACTTTTTTCTTTGCGATGTGATATACGACTTTTTGATGACCTCTAGTTGCGTGTAATTAAGTTCATTTAAAATATCACCAGGATGTGAACAACTCTGGGCGTTTTATATCATTAAAAAATGATTAAAAGTATGATGATAAATAGTTATCTCAAACTTCCTCATATATTGTATAGACTTAAGTTAAATCTTAAGTTATTTTAGCTCCCCAGAAAAGCTCCAATAGCATACATTTATTTAATAGTTTTAAAATAACTCTTACAGTTATCTTGACTTTTAAGCAATTTACAATAATTCTTCGCTAAAAATTCGAGATTACAATATAGTATTATCCCTTCTTTAGATCAAAATATTACTTATCTTCAATTTTTGTCTCTTTCGTCTGAATATACCCATTATAATCCCGCATCAAAAATGGGTATAAATGCAAATACAACAAAGTGCAGCAATGTCAGAACAAAACGCGGAACACACACACACAGAATGAAAACATGAGCACACAAATTTTATCTTAATTACATTCAGTCGTCGGCTTGGAGCTGCGGCTTCCTTGCCGGGATTTGGACGGATCCAGAATCGCACTCCAGTTTGTTGGCCACATAAAGCCACACACACACATTAACACCAGCAACGAGGGCAAGGGAACAAGCGCGAGAACAACTCTTGGCTGAAATGGGTCATAATGCAATTAACACGACCATAAAGCCAAATCAAGGGGGCAAAGAAGCTCTAACTGTAAACTGTAAAATATATATTTCCGGAGGGAGTGAGAGAGGCTGAGAGGGTCAACGAGGGGCATACAAATACCGTTTGCAAATATTTGTTCATTCATTTCGCTTCTTATATACGAAATACCCTCGTACCTTAAAGCAATTTTGTTGACTTTGTTCTGCCAAATGTGTGGCCATAAAAGCAAAAGTCGCCATTAAAAATCGAAAGTCCATTCAACCCGCCATAAAAAAACCTATCAAGATGGCAATTCGCTAGAAAAGCTCTGTGTTGTCACCTCTGAACCCAAGTGATTCGCTGCCCGAAAATAGCATCTGGCATTGATGCGTGAAAACCAAAACAAAACCAGAGTCGAGCAACGCCACAGCAGAAATTACCCAAATTACATTATAAGAGACATTTAGTTTTCATTTATCGCCGCTCGCACAAATAAACACAATTTTAATGGCAACCAGCTGAAAAAAACACACAAAAATGTTGCGAAGATCTTTCGATGACTCAGGTTCAAGTATTCCCCCGTTCCTCTCTCTCCTGAGGCTGTCTTGGTTTTGGTTTTTTATTCCAAGGCAATTGTTGGTTGGGCAAAGACAACTATATTATCAGCTCATGTACTTTGTTTATGTGTTACTTGCTTACTCACTTTTTGAAGCTCGAGTCGGCGTTTGATAATGAAGACATCTGTTTAAGTGACGTCTGTGACCTGCTCTGGGAAAATCCAGAGTTGTAAATATATCTTAGGGTTTCTCAGGAGATCCGCTTTTAAATAAACTTACAATTCAAGTTTAATATTCTTTATAGATATCAAAAACTGACATTATTGAGCTCCAACCATTTTCCTTTCCCCAAACTATTTACTCTTTTGATGGCCTGCCATTACCATAGTCATTTGCAACTATCGATTTGCAATTAAGTAGCATATCGAATGTGCGGCCATTAGCCATTAGTCGGCCACCTCCCGCACTGGATCTGGATCTGGATCGAATGCCCAAGGAATGGCACTTGTAAATCCACTGCCCGCACCCGAAAATGCATTGCCCATAATCGCAACCTTGCACGAGGCGGCGGCACACACCCACCGCGAAAAGTCAGCGCCCAGCGAACACAGCGGGTATGCTGCAGTCCGGAGTCTTAGTTACAGCCTTAGTCGGTGTTTTAGTCAGAGGGCCTGCATAAAGTCCGGCTAATGATAGGCTAACGCTCCATCAACGATAAGGCCAAATTGTGGCACACGCGCCACCGAGCTATTTTTAGGCTAGCGCATGGGGAGCACTTGTAAGTTGTAAGGCACACTGGGAGAAGAGAGATATTAATCATTGCCTTATTAATTAAATAGAAAGATAAAACTATGAGCAACTTCCGTATCTCTAACATAAATTAAGCATTAATAAGGAATAAGTAATGATAATGACCTTAAATTAAGAAATGCATTCCAAAATTGCTTAAAAATGGTTTTATGTTTGTTTGTTATGTTTTTTCAATAATTTAGTTCGAATTATGATTTTCCCTTATTTTTTTTTTACCTGGAAATTGTACCCAATTCATCAGTATAATAATAATACAACCAAATATTTGGTATAGTGTATGTTCAATTAGAGGGATAAACACCGGGCTAAACAGCAACAATGTTGCAGACACTCACCTGACCACACTCACTCACGCACACATGCGCCCAATCACACCCAACATACAAAACGTAGCAGCTCACCTCGCTCGCAACCTGCCTCAAGCGACTTACGTCTTGAGGTTTACGTCACGCAAGCGAAGCGTCGGCGTTTTCTTACCTGAACGTCTATTGGTTACGTATGCACTGAAAGAATTTGGGAAACAGTTTTTATGAATTCGTTTTAATTAAGCAAAACTAATTTAAACAAATTATGTTATTTTAGGTTAAATTGAAATAAAATACCAGTACAATATTAAATAATTTTTTATACATACTAATACTTTATAAAATATATAAAGTATAAATGATCCATTTGAGTTAAGTATTTATTAATTTGGGTTTTAATTTTAAATAAGCAGTTAATGCATTAAAAAAAATATTTTTATTCTTAACAAATCAATTTAGCTAAATAAATTAATAATTGCGCAGCAGCGAAATTAAAATAACCGTTATATGAAATCCGTTCAAAGTTTTCCAAAATAAATGCAATGAAATGCTGAATACCCGCGTATACTTAATATTTTTTGGCAACATGAAAATAGTGTAGCATACTTTTTGACGTCAATTCAGTACTGTCTTGCCTCGTGTTACTGCCAACTTATTATTGTACTACAATAACAAATACAAGTAAAAATTGACAAGAACTTACAAAAAAATCAATAAACTATAATAATACTTAATAATTTTGTCATCATTATAGACACATTTTTGTTAGCATTAAGACACAATTTAAAATAAGATTTTATACACAGATAAGAAAAAGTTTCCACAAGGCAAATTGCACATAGTAAATTAATTAAATAATAAAAACTTAATTTATAATAACAAAATACACCTCATATTAGGAACTATAAATTTTTCCACATTTCTTTCCTAGTTTCACCTATTCATTGTAGTGTATTGTGGTGTCTTTCTCTCTCGGTCTCTTGGTCTCTCTCTCTCTCCGTTAGCCGCTTCTTCTTGCACTTTTGGCGCTGCCTTCTTCTCCACCTTTAGCTTCTTCTTCTCCTGCGCTCGCTGCTTTGGCGGCGGCGTTCCGTTCAGTTGGATTCGGTTGGACTCAGTTTGGTTCAGTTCAGTTTTCAGTTCCCCAGCGAACGCTCTCAAGTTCAGTCGCTTCGACTCGCCTTCGCCGTCGTCGTGGTTTCGTCGCGGGTGAAAACGGTGTGAAAACAAAACGGATAAACCACCGAGCGAGGCAACTGTCGCTCAGCTGCGCGCGTCGCCCTCCCTTTTCCGCCCACCCCCGAAGTCACCTGTGTGTGCGTGTGTGTGTTGTGCCGTTCTTGTTGTTGTTGTGGGCAACGTTTATAGTATTTTAACTGGCTTAGTTGCTACAACAATTGGTAATACGAAAGGCTTAACAAAAGTCATAAGTGATTAACAAAAACAAAAAAAATAACAAAATAGAAAAAAAGAAACAAATCAGCGATAATTGTGCGAAACGTATTGTGGAATGCGAGGCGGAAACATCGTTAAATATTGCTAACTAGCCCACATAAAATTGCAATTTATTTTGAACGATTATCGATTTTCTGCGTGTCACTGTGTCAAAGTCAGCGGCGGAACATCATAATCCGCCGCTCGAGCTCCAAAGTTTCCCAAAACTCGTCTCAATTTGAGAGGCTCCACTGTGGGCGCTAAGTTCAGTGTCAAAAGTTCTTCAGTTTCGGGGGGAACAGCTGTCTCGCTCCGTCTCGCTCTGTCCCCACTTCCTCTTTGTCAACTGGTTCGTCCGGGGCAGAGAAGGACACACTGTCTGCAATTCCTCTATCCCACTCCAACTGCAACCTCACACCTATTGAGGAGGATCTGTCTCCCTGCGAAGAAGCCACATAGCAAATAGTGGTAGTAAAAATTGAAATATACAAAAAATCAGGAGGGAACGAGAGGGCCCAAAACCGGAATTGTGCAAATAAATCTCGATATAAGTCCCAGTCTCCGGTCTCTCACGGGCTTCTTTCTTTCCCCTGCGAGCGGGACTCGCTTGTTGTCTTCGACAAGGAAGCAAATCTTTTGGCGCAGTTTTTGCCAAATTACGAGCTGAGAAATATTATTTATTTTCACCCATTAACGGGGAAATTGCCCCCCAAAGGCGTCAAGTGATTGTGCTTTCTCTGTCAGCGGCTACACAGGAGCTAAGAAAATTTTAATATAACAAATACAACTCTATAGATAGAAATCTTTGTTCCCTTTCACATAATAATAACATTCCAAGAAAGATTAAATTGACCCGATTTGTTAGCTATTTTATCTTTACTTAATACCCATTTTCTGCCTGTGTATGTAAGCGTCTGCATTAGTATCTGCATTGCCATCTGTCACCTGGTAACCCCACAAATTATTGACATCAAATTAGCTTCATTGTAGTGCCCCAAATACCAAGGCCCTCGAGTGCCGCTCAATTAGAGTCTTGATTGCACTATATTACACTCCACTTCGCTCAGTATGTATAATCAGGCACATGACCAACTCAACTAAATCCCATCCAGCACTAAAACATAGTCTAGTTCTTCTCCTCCAGCTGCTCGTGCTCCTCCTGCTCAGCATTTATTTACTTTTTAATATGCAAATAAAGAATGCTATGGAATTTATTATGGCGAAACAGAATAAGTTAATTCTGTTAGCTCTATCTGCTGTGCAAAAAAGAAGGAAAACGAAAATAGTAATCAAGCTAAAATAAAAGAGCAGCTGTGTGAAGGGGGGAACCCCTGGAGGGGGCTGGCGGGGGTGAGCAAACCCCATTTCAACGCGGTTAGTGCGCTAAGTACGAAGTACGACACAAGAGCTTCTATTTAGTTATAGACACAAGCACCGCGAATTACAGTGGGTTGTGAAATTCGTTGCACTGATTTTGCAAAGAAACGTGCGAAAACGGCATTATGGAGATGTGAGAATCTGGAAAAGGTTACTTGAGATCAGGCTTTAGGAATTTGGATTAATTAAAATAAACTAGTTATTTATACTTCGCCTGAAGAAATATTTAATTTTTATTAGCCAGAATAAGATTAAAACTAAATTAAATTTATTTTAAAGCATACTCGTTTTGAAATGTTCTCTAAAAGCTTATAATTTTTTATGGTACAAATATTATTCTCAATGCCTGGAGGTCCGATACCCAATTGTATTCTTAATAGAAAAACCAGTAGTTTGTAGATATTTATATGTATATAAAAACAATTCCAAATTACGTTACACCGTAATCGAATATGTGTTAACCTATAAATTAGCTGTAACACACGTAACGTCATGAAAAAGTTTGACATCATTAAAGAAAACAGATCCGCTTTTTATGCCAAAAATGGCAACAGCGTCGCTGAACTTTTGCCAAAAAAAAAGCGTTTGCAGACTCGACGCACCCACTGTGCCTGGTCCGTCGTAAACGTAGTTACGATTTTAATTATCTGCCGGCGTAATCTGCCAGCGCCGACGTCGGCTGCCTGTTGACGTGCCAACCGCGGACACTTCACATTTAGCTTTAGTTTCAGCTAGGGTTTTTTTCGCAGCTCCCTCCGACTTTTCACTCTTTTGCTCAGCTCTGGTTTTTTATTTCTCGCCTGCACTCGCTAATCCAATTTTTTAATTGTGCAGCGCAAGAAGCAGAGAGCGAACACCATCCAGCACTTAGTTAAGCCTCCAGAAAAAGATCTCAAGTCGGGGGAAAACTTCACTGCCATAGCCATACATATATATACATATACATATCTGCCTTTCAGCCATTTCTTGGGTTTATTTTTTCAACATTTTTCGCTTAGTTTATGCGTTATCTTTCAGCGCTTATCTGGCTACCGAGTTGGAGTCGGTGTGTTCGTTGACTATGCAAAGTCAAGGTGAGTTCAGGTGTGCGGCCTTTTTTTTCGCCTCTTACCTTTGTTAGCTGGGGATCTAATTCGCTTAACTATAAGCCAAAACCACTGACAGCTAATTATAATGCCCGTCTTAATGCCAAATTACGATGAATGCATATGATCTGTAATCGGATTTGCCTCAATTGCGTGGGAATTCGTATCCCCATCTCCTGGCTTATGTAAAGAGTGAAAAGAGCCCCGAAAAACCCGTAGTCTCGTCTGTTATCCGGCTGTTGAAAAACTCTTTTTAGCTCATTAACTAACAATCAAGTTGGCAGACAAAGCGCATTAGTGAGTAATTCCCTCCATATTTTTTTTTTGCATTTTAGCCCTCATAGAGAGCTCTCTATGATGTATGTATGTATTTGGCCGATAAAGCGTTTGGCCAAACAATGAAAGTGTCGGTGCTGCAACCACACCCAAAAGAAAAAAAAAACAGCAACAAAAAATATGGTAAAAACTCCAGAGTTTGGTTTCTTCGGCGCCGCTTGCTAAATGCTAAGTGCTATTGAGGTCAGTGGCTTAGTACACGCCACCGAAGGCACTCGCTGCTACATGCACATCAGCCGGGAAAATAAATAACCCATTAGCACGAAGGTCCGTCCGAGCCACTAAACTTTATTGATTTATTCGCCGCCCTGCCTCGGTTTTTTCTTCTCACTTTCATTGACATGGATACCGAATATGCATATACTGGCTATATTCTTAGTCTCTCTAACATTGACACATTGCACTACAGAATACTTGCACTGACGATGTTTTAGCCGTTTTCGGGTCAAGGCAACAAAAAATATGCATTTATTTTTATTGATTTTCGCTTGAGCCAAAAACATGAATAATCTCCAAAGAGAAGAATACGTAAGGGTATAGTCAGTACCATTTAGAAAATAAATTAACTTTGAGCAAGTTTCGTAAGGCAACAGTCATCAGAAGCCCCTATTTCAATCAAATAAGCTGTCTTTTCATTTCTACTTAAAGTAAAAAACTTCCCATAAATCAAACACACCGTTTTCCTTACCTTTTCAAAGACCCTACAACTATATTTCGCCCCCACACCAACGACGAGTGGCCCTCTAATGAAGTGATAACTTGACATTGGCCTGGGCTTATCAGTGAAGTTCAACAAATTTTCAGTGATTTTATCGCAGGTTCAGCCATCTTCTCAATGACTTTCAATGGTCGTCATAAAACTTGACGGCTGGCGGTTGATGCACCCGTGTGGCACCGGGGAAATGCCACCAAAGGGTTCATAAAATGCAAAGTAGTTTGATTGTGCGATCATAAAAAAGTTTACGGCAGGAAAAATGTCCATAAAAGCAATTAAGTCGGCTTAACGTGGCTCTACCTGGATCAACTCTTCAGATCTTTTGTAAGGGATCGCTTTGCCTTGAATTGATTTGCTTTGGCCTGGGGTTGGGGGAAACAATTTGCGGTTTTGTTGCCCGCAGAATGTTTATAAATACAATGTGGAGTGAAAAAAAGCTGATTACAGCATCGCGTTGAGGTTATTGAGAAATACATCGACCTTGATTGCCGTGTTGTAAGTAAGGAGGAGGCGGACTCTGGCTCATTTCTTTCAGCAATAACTATTCAGCATTTGAAATTGCATTTCGAATCAATCAACCTCAACTTGACCTTGCCCCGTCGCCGTCGCCGTCGCCACAAGAGCCATAATTTAACACTCAAAACCAAGTTGAGGTCTGGAGTTGGAGTTGGATGCGCCTCGGACTTGGACACTCCCCCGAAACCCGAAAGCTGAAATCCGAAATCCGAGACTCAAGACCCAATGGAATCCCAACAGATAACCAAGAGCCATCGGCAATTTATCAAGCGTGTGCAACATTTAAACGGGATGGTTGCATAAAATCTGCATAAAATTAATACGGGGCTTGTTGATTTTTACCTCCTTCTTCGCTCCTCGATAAACTTTGTTTGCAGTGTGAGTCGTCAAATGTGATTTATGCTGGAAAATGCCTGGCTGTCCGTCTTTTTTCCTCACTCTACCTGACTTGTCGGATGGCAGATGCAATCGGCAAACAAATACATATATGTATATAAAAAACCCAATAGAGAAAAAACCTCAAATACCAAAATTTGTCTGTAAGCAATTTATCATGGCTAAAGTGAAAACACGTCCGAAGACGCCAAAAGATGCGGCGATAAAGCGCATTGTTTATTAGACCATTAAATGGTGGCTCCGAGCCCGGCTTGGCGTCGCTCATTAGGCCGGGAAATTATAAAAATCAAATAAAAGCCAGAGCTGTCGCTTTAATATTGTTATTCAAATGGGATGAGCTGTTGAGTGAAAAGCGCTCGTAAAGAAAATTGGGCATGCGATATGACTAAACACGTTGGGCAAACAGCTTCGGGTCTTGACTTTTCATTCATCATCGTCTAAACAGAACATTTGGGCAAACATCCGTCAATGGAGAGTATGAATAATGTCTCGGAGTTATTTTTTTGCATCACAATGATATATTTAAGAAAACAATAGCTTA